TGTAGCCTAGCCACGCAAGAGAATGGATGACACAAAATAATTACGAAATCAGGCCTTATGTTAGATCAAATGCTTGTTTTAGGCTCCGAATCCCATCATGATGCTAATAGTTTTGTAGTTAATAGTGAAGCTGATTGGTAGACTTGATCATACACAAACGTTAGCCAAAGTTTGAGATTATTCTAAAAGTATACGCCAGTTTCAGTTAGTGCAAATGTAATCAGCACATTTACCGCCTTCATCAGTAAGTCTAGAGCATCGCTATTAGCCGTGGCCCACTCAAAAATGCACTATTTGTTGAACATTTGATTCCGAATGTTTAATTATTCAGTCAAACAAAAGGTTAGCATACATCTGCCTTAGAGATACTTACCTAACGTGCTTAGGCTTCACTAACTCTCTTGACAGAGGATTTAAAGAATTTGCAAATACATTTGCATACATCATGAGGATGGGTGTATGAAAAGATACTTCTTCTATTGTGTTACTTATGTCGAAATCACATGTATAAAAGTATTTGTTCAGCTTGCCTATTGCTACAAAGAACAAATCAAATTAAAGATGGAAAGACTAGACGGGCCAAAATAAAGCTCGGCTTCCTTGGTTATAAAGCTGTTTAATACGTCAGAATTAAGTCCTTGATAACAACATTAAAGCACACTTCCGATAGCCTGTGTGACAATCCATCAGGGCATCAAACAAGTAGATTTTAAAATATCAAATTATATTTTGACAGAGCCCACACCATCCTGGCGCAAAGGCTATTTATTCTTCATGCCCTTGAACACCTGTCCGGTCTCTTCTGCATTACAATAGCATGCCCATTTTCCTCCCAATTAGAAGCATATGCCTAACGGTCATTTATCCATAACCATCGCGAAAAAAACCACCGCCACCATAGAGGCCAAATTAATCACCCTCCACGTGACTCACTGTAACTAATTATACGCAGTTATTTATGTCGTCTACTACGTCGCCCGCTGACGACCTGCACCTGCTAAACTAAGCTGTACAACTCCTAAAGCACTGCCTGATGGAAACCTTGCGAACATGAATGGGAGCTGAAGGTGGAGGAGGTGAACCGTAGGCTAACTCGGCCAAAAAAGAGTTGGTAATTATGAATTGCCACTTATATGAATAAGTGACACGCCCGTCTGCGATCTGCATTCCACGCGTGAATCGCGCCTTCAGAGATGGCCTACATGAGTTCCTCAGCCACCGCTTTTCTGATCTTTCAGTATGGAACCACCGAATAGACATGCCCGCACCTGAAAGAAAGGTTCGCATTGGGGATGTCCTGCCATTGCCCTCCTGGCTGAACTTAGTCTCAACTAAGACCAACTAGCCGACTTGTTATAATCTCATCCTCACAAAATTGTGATTTTAGGCCCTGAAAATGCGGATTATCATCCTCAGAAGAAAGTGCCTCTCACTACCGAAGCTTCAGATATTTGGGTGTAGTCGTAGCCCAGCTCGGCAGGATAAAGATAAAAAGCCGGCCGACCCACCCACTGCAGTCTTTCAGCAAAGTATCGATTGGATTGCTTATATATGAAACCCAGTTGCGGGCTTCTTTTCTAATAGAGGGAGCGTCCAGCGGTATATACAGCATCGAATGTGTGCATCAGTCTGCTAGACTATTCTCCTGATGGAAATCTACCATTTCACCAATTAATGCAAAGTCCCATAAAGATGAAAGTAGTTGACCACGATAGGTATTGTGTAACCTAACTAAATAATCTGGAACTCACAGGTAAGAGAATAGGCGTAAAAGAAGCAAGAGCTGGTACAGATGCAGATAATAAAAGGGTACGATCATTAACGAAAAAAGATGAGATTCCCGCAGATTATAGAAAAAGAATCACTTAATTAATACCATAATTGAGATGATTTAATATACCAAAAAAAGCGAGAAAATATCGTAGTCTAGAAAATTGAAGATAAGTACCAGGATATTTAGGGAAGATTATGCGTTGATGCGACACCCGTATTACAGGGTATGCCGAAAAATAACATGAAAGCACAGTGCAAATGTACTGAGAATAATCATGCCCAACAAGCTAAATTATGCTAAATACAGGAACAAATCGATTAATAATAACAATAAATCGTACAATTGAGAATGATTGGAATAACAGAGCAACAATTTCAAAAAGCCCACACCGCAAAGCCTTATTATCTAGCGCCTAACTTGGCGTGGATAATACTTATCTAGAGTTTTTGCAGGTATTCGCTTAAGAAGTTCCTTCGGGAATATGCGGAGTAGCTCCCAGCCGATATCTAAAGAATCAAATACGCTGCGATTCTCGTATGCACCTAAAGAATAAAAATGAGAAATAAAATGGATTCATGGAAAATTTTAAAATAAAGTAGGACTTACTCTGAGAGATAAATGTCTTCTCAAATTTAGTGAGGAATTCCAGATATAGAAGATCCTCTGGGCTTAGTGCTTCTTCCCCAACGACAGCCTTCATGGCTTGAACATCTTTGCCAATGGCATAGCAGGCGTACTTCAAAGCATTAGTAAATGTAAAATCATAATAAAGGAATCCTTATATTAAATTAAACCTGAACATTAAGCACTATAGGTGCGACTAAA